GGGCGTTGTGGCAGGCGCCTGTGGTCCCAACTACTTGGGAGGCTGAGGCAGGAGACTCGCTTGAGCCCAGGTGTTGGAGGTTGCTGTGAGCTGTGATGTCACAGCACTCTACCCAGGGGGATAGCTTGAGGCTCTGTCTCAAAAAAAAAAAAAGGAAGTTGTCTGTATGTAGATAGAGGCTGAAGCCCAGGTCTGGGGAGATTACCAAGAGAGTGTGGTGAGTCAGAGGAGGAGAGGGTAAGGCAGGAGCCGAGGTGGCCAGCAGGGCAGCCAGGCAGTGTGCGGCAGGGGAGCTAGGGAGGAGAGAGGTGAGACTGAGGGGGGCTCTAGGTCTGGCAGTGCAGGGGTCCTGGTGAGCTTGAGCAAGGTGGTGTGACAGCCTCATTGGCCCAAGGTTAGGAGATAATTTTTTTTATTTTTTTAGAGACAGAGTCTCACTTTATCACCCTTGGTAGAGTGCTGTAGCATCACAGCTCACAGCAATCTCCAGCTCTTGGGCTTAGGAGATTCTCATGCCTCAGCCTCCCAAGTAGGTGTGACAGCAGGCACCTGCCACAATGCCCAGCTATTTTTTTTGTTATTGCAATTTTGACTGGGGCCGGGTTCGAATCCACCACCCTCGGTATATGGGGCTGGCGCCCTACTCACTGAGTCACAGGTGCCACCCAGGAGAGGATTTTTTTAAGGAAGGAATCATATGCAGGGTGTCAGACTTCAGAAATGAGCAGCTTCTAGGAATCGTAACACCAGCTCTCAGAAACTGGGATCTAGCTTCGGGGTGGATGGGGTAGTTCTGGTGCTGCAGCTGCCAAGTCTGGGGGTGGCTGAGGTGGTTCTTGTCATCTCAGAAGTGACAGCAGAGTGCTGGCAGGTGGGGAGGCTTCGCTGTATCCTTCTGAGCAAAGGGTCAGTGTCCAGCTCAGGGTGTCATGCCCATATGGGCAGTGGGGCTTGGAGGGGCAGTGGGCCTCACAGAGACAGCAGTCCCGGGGGTGTTTGCAGTGGAATCCGGGGTCCCTCAAAGGTCAGAACTGGAAGGCAAAGACACCGATAGTCATATGGGGAAACTGAGGCCCAGAGAGGTAAAAGGGTAGGAATTAAAGCTCAGGTCCCACTTCTGGGACAGTAGAAAAGAGGAAGGGGGACCCTCTTCTGCAGCCTTGGCCTTGAGGATGACCTGGGCCGGGGCTGGGCAGGACCTGGTCTTGCTTTGTCAGTGAGTGTTGTGAGATGAAAGGCTTTGTGGCTGGGCATGACTCAGACTGAGAGCTGGGAGGCGACTGGCTCCCCTGGAGTCTCACTGTGCAATCCTGGGCACAGGATTTCAGACATGGAGGCCACTGTGGAGACAGCAAAACCCAGCACGTGTCCAATACCCTCAGTCCATCCGTATTGCTGAGCCCAGATAGGACTTGAAAATCCCTTTTCTCCTAAGCCTCACTGACCCTGTCTGGGGAACAGGTCAGGACAAGTGCCTGTGGGGAACCCCACCATCCCTTCCGGGGAGCTAACCATGGTTCTCTCCCCGCAGGCGGGCTGTCAGTGGCAGTTCCTGGGGAGATTCGCGGCTACGAGCTGGCTCACCAGCGGCATGGCCGGCTGCCCTGGGCTCGCCTCTTCCAGCCCAGCATCCAGCTGGCCCGTCAGGGCTTCCCTGTGGGCAAGGCCTTAGCGGCAGCCCTGAAAAACAAGCAAGCTGCCATCGAGGGGCAGCCTGCCCTATGGTACATCTGTGGGGCCCCTGCAGGCTGTGAGCGGCTGGTAGAGCTGCACCCTGCTTTCAGGAATCCACACTGACGGGGGCCTGTGGGTTGAAGACATGCAGACCCTTCCCACTGTGTGTGGGGACACATCCTGAGCCTGTGACCCAAAGTAGACACCAAGGCTACTAGGTGTCATGAGTGGCAGTGGACACTTAGGAAGCGAGGGGCTGGACTGGCCAGCAGGGGTGCCAGGAGGCTGAGGGACACTCAGGGACACTCACTCATGGATAGGCCCAGCCATGCTTTGTTCTCAGTCCCCTGCTGTGGGTGGGCGTGGGGGAGTCTGGCCATGTCTCACACGAATCCCCACTGCTGCAGTGAGGTGTTCTGCCGGGATGGGAAGGTGCTTCAGGAGGGCGAGATGCTGACCTTGCCGCGGCTAGCCGACACCTATGAGACGCTGGCCCGAGAGGGTGCCCAGGCCTTCTACAATGGGAGCCTGACTGCCCAGATTGTGAAGGACATCCAGGAGGCTGGTGAGTGGGTGACCTCGGGGGCCTGGATGAGGAACCCTGCAGTAGGTACCCTGATTTTGGAGCCCAGAGCTCTGGGGCCTTCCTATCCTGCCTGGGCCCTCAGAGAGCTGGCCAGGTCAAAGCCAAGAGAGGGCATGCAGTGTAGGAGAGAAAGTCCCTGTGAGTTAAATATAGGTATAAGCAGGGCCAGGGCAGGGGAAGAGCTAGAGGGCAGACCAAGGATCCAGGAGGGCTTCCTGGAGGAGGTAGTAGTTGAGCCTTCCTTTTTCTTTTTTGAGACAGAGCCTTAAGCTGCCGCCCTGGGTAGAGGGTTGTGGCATCACAGCTCACAGCAACCTCCGACTCCTGGGCTTAAGTGATTCCCTTGCCTCAGCATCCCAAGTAGCCAGGACTACAGGTGCCCACCACAACGCCCAGCTATTTTTTGGTTGTAGTTGTCATTGTTTGGTAGGCTTGGGCTGGATTTGAACCTGCCAGCTCTGGTTTATGTGGCTGGCACCTTAGCTGCTTGAGCTGTAGGTGCCAAGCCTGAGCTTTCTTTAGGTGGAAGGAGTAGCTTGAGCTAAGGCCTGGAGTCATGAGGAGGGTCATGAGGGATGAGGGTAGGCTTGGAGAGGAGGCCTAGGAGGGCACCCGGTCCTCCCTGCCACAGTGCAGCCCCATCCTTGTGTCCACTCGAGCCGCTGTCTCTTTGCAGGAGGCATTGTGACAGTTGAGGACCTGAACAACTACCGTGCTAAACTGATTGAACACCCACTGAACATCACCCTTGGGGACATGGTCCTTTACACGCCCAGCGCACCGCTCAGCGGGCCTGTGCTGTCTCTCATCCTCAACATCCTCAAAGGTGAGGGGCTATGACACTCCTCTCCCTCCCATGCTCCACCCTTGCTCATCGTGGCCTGCCTGGGCCCCCCACCCTGTGTCCTCCCATTGCTGAGTTCCCAAGGTGTGCCATTGCCCCTTGGCTTACTGTCTCCCATGGGAGGCAGTGCAGAGTGACCAGGGCCATGATGGGCATGGTCCAGGAGCTAGAGGAGGAGGAAGAGTCATCAGAGGGAGAGGGGTGCAGGAGTCCTGGGCCAGGTAGTCTGGTGTAGAGGGCACCCTTGGTAAACCTGAGTGGTCATTCATGACTATGTACAGTGCCTGGCCCTCCGGCTGAGACTCAGGAGGTCCAGGCCTGGGAAGTCCTTCTGCTGCTTTAAGCAGCCTTCTGAAGTAGCTGCTGCTGTTGGTTATTAAAGGCGGCCGACAAGGCAGCTCAGGGAGGTGTTAGCCCTCTTAGCCCCTCTAAGCCTGCCAACGTGTACCTGGTTCTGACCCAACAGGGTACAACTTCTCCCCGGAGAGCGTGGAGACCCCAGAGCAGAAGGGCCTGACCTACCACCGCATTGTGGAGGCCTTCCGGTTCGCCTATGCCAAGAGGACCCTACTGGGGGACCCTAAGTTTGTTGATATGACTAAGGTAAGGGGTGGGGCTAGCCCACAATGGGGGTGGAGCCCTCTGTAGAGGTACCAGCTGGGCTCCTGTGGCCACCAGACTTGTGTCTGTTTTATGAATCCATTCCTGCCATGGACTTTGGTTATGGGCCCACTGTGTGTGACCAGCAACCCTCAGCCTTGGTCTCATAGTGTGGGGAGGGCTGAGGGGGATCGAGCTGACCGTGGGCAATTAGTACTGCCCCCAGTTCTGGTCACGCTCCTATCACAGGGCCTTTGCACATGCTATGCCCTTGGCTGGAAGGTTCTGGAGTGATCAGTACTAAGGTAAAGGGCATTTCAGCCCTGGGGGGAGGGGTGATAAGAAAGATCAGTGAGGGGGAGAGGGCCAGGTGGGCAGAGGCCACCTGTTCCCTGGTCACTCCAAGGAATGAACCTTTCCCAGATCCCCACCCTCAGCCCCACACTGTCTGGCCCACTCATCACCAGGTGGCCCTAGCTGCACTCTGGGGCCTCACTGGGACCCCTATCAAGGGCCTTCCTGCCGAGTGTCCTCACATGCCTCCTGTCCTACTCGGATCCCCAGCATTCTGGGTGGACCTGCAGACCCCCTACCCTGGCCCATGGTCTCACAGGAGGCCTTTGGCTGCCCAACAGGGGTCTTCTATCTCCTGGTGAGCATTCTGCACCCTCCATTCCATGTTGGAGGGGACAACCCGGTTTCCTCCTCTCTCCCTTCAGGCTCCCCCCTTCCTCATGCCACCCAGAGGCAGCCTCTGTTTCCCCTTCAGGCCTCTCTTGGCAGCATCTCACACAGCTCACCACATCCTCCTCCTTTCCTCAACTTTCTGTTTTGCAAATTTTCACACCTATGAAAATGCTGTTAAAAAACATCGATGTTCTCTTCCTCTGCAAACTTCCTAACTATCTCCATCTGTATCTTCCTCTGCTGATACCCGCATTTGTTCTGAGCTATTGGATGTCAATAAGTTGCTGATGTCACACTTCAGGGTGTATCTCCTTAAGAGGGAGGACTCAACACATCCCAGTGGCCAGAAACCCCACCTTGGGTGGCATCATCTATCATACACTTACATGGGGATTTCCGTGAGGGTCCCTTCGTCCTGTGGGTACAGGGTCTATCACATCACACCTTGCAGTCCGGCAGGGATGTCTCTTCTCTTAACCTATAGTAGCCCCCCGTCAATGTTTTGCTGGTTTTTAAAGCCCAGGGACGCTGTCGTGGAGAATGTCCCACATTCTGGATTTATCTTCTTTCTGTTTCCTGGGGAGCAGATAGATTCAGGGAGGCCGTCTTTCCCTTGGCTGAAACCCTCTTGAGGCATTTTCTTTGTTTGGCTTCCCGGGACCCTTGTTCATCTTCTCTGTTCTCTGTCTGTCCTCACTGCTGCCTGGGACCTTGGTCAAGCTTGTGGCTTTGGTTAGTCCTGGGACACTGATGCCTCCTTGTTTATCTCCATGATTATTCCTATCATGGCCACTAGAGAGATCCTGTGAAAACATTCCCCTGGGTGCTCACTCCTGCCCCAAGCCTGTGTGAGTGTGGCACGGAGCAAAAGCCAAAGTCCTTATGGAACCCCCATGGTCCTACCAGATGGGCCCCAGCCTGTATCTTCCATCTCCTCTGCTCCTCACCCCGTCCACTCTCTGTCACTCACAGGTCTACACCACCCATTCTGGGCTCTTTTCAATTGTCAGCCTCCTTTGAGAAGCCCTTGCTGACCATTCTGTCTGCTCCCCATTCTTCTCAATCCTCCTTACTGGCTTTTCGGCACTTTCCCTGCCTGCTTTTGTTTCTCCCGCCATGAAGGCCCAGGCTACCTGCCTGGGTCCTGCTGACTTTCCAGTGCTGGGCAAGCTTCATAAATATTTGCACGAATAAATGAATTACTGAATAGGACAAGAGTCTACAAGTTTAAGGGATGGATAGACATTCAGAGTTGCTGAAATGCAACAGAGACAGGGGCTAGAGAGAGGGGGTCAGAGTGGACATGAAGAGCTGGGCCTGGCTCGGTGCCTGTGGCTCAAGCGGCTAAGACGCCAGCCATGTACACCTAAGGTGGCGGGTTTGAATCCAGCCCTGGCCCGCCAAACAACAATGATGGCTGCAACCAAAAAAATAGCCGGGCGCTGTGGCAGGCGCCTGTGGTCCCAGCTACTTGGGAGGCGGAGGAAGGAGACTTGCTTGAGCCCAGGAGTTGAAGGTTGCTGTGAGCAGTGAAGTCATAGCACTCTACCCAGGGGGACAGCTTGAGGCTCTGTCTCAAAAAAAAAAAAAAAAAAAAGAGCTGGGCCTGACTCTGGGCCCTGGGGAGCCACAGAGGGTTTAGGGTACAGGAGGGTTTGCGGTCAGAGCCACAGTTGGGGGAGGGGGCTTTCTGAGACCTGCTGGCACAACCCTGTGCCCCCCTCCCCACCTCCCTTCCACCTCCTCAGGCCAGCTCTGGGGTCTCGGCAGGTGGTCCTCAACATGACCTCTGAGTTCTTTGCGGCCCAGCTCCGGGCCAGGATCTCCGACGACACCACTCACCCAGCCTCCTACTATGAGCCTGAGTACTACACACCCAACGATGGTGGCACTGCCCACCTGTCTGTTGTTGCGGAGGATGGCAGTGCCGTGTCTGCTACCAGCACCATCAACCTCTAGTAGGGGACACTGGCCACCTGGGTTGGGCAGGGTTGGGCTGGGTGGGTGGGGGCTGCCTGTGTGTCCCATAAGAGGCTCCAATACCTCCTTCTGTGGGAGGAAACTGAGGCCCTACCTCAGTGGTCTGCCCCATGGCTCTCTGGGATTGAGTTTGAGCTTCAGAAGGGTGGGGAGGGCCCAGGTGGGACTGGCCTGGGTCAGATGCTGCCGTCTAACCCGGCTGGCCTGCAGCTTTGGCTCCAAGGTCCGCTCCCGGCTCAGTGGGATCCTGTTCAATGATGAGATGGATGACTTCAGCTCTCCCAACATCATCAACCAGTTCGGGGTACCCCCTTCGCCTGCCAATTTCATCAAGCCAGGTGTGGGGTGGGGATCAAGAAGCAAGAGCGTTGGGTAGGGAGGGGATTGGTGGCTTGGGCATGCAGCTAGTCAGCTTTTCTGTCCCGTCCTTCTGGCTACAGGGAAGCAGCCACTCTCGTCCATGTGCCCAACCATCATAGTGGACCAGGATGGCCGGGTCCGCATGGTGGTTGGAGCCTCCGGGGGCACACATATCACCACGGCCACTGCACTGGTATGTGCCAGCCCCTGCCCTCCCTGACCCCTCCCTGCCTCTGCCCCCCAGGCACTGCTGACTGCACCCCTGTCTCCCACCAGGCTATCATTCACCACCTGTGGTTTGGCTACAACGTGAAGCAGGCCGTGGAGGAGCCCCGACTACACAACCAGCTTTTACCCAACGTCACAACACTGGAGAAAGACCTTGATGAGGTAGGCTGGGGGTGGGGAGCCAAATCACAGGGTGGGGCTGCAGGGCATCCTGCTGGGGGCCTGGATCTCCTGAGCCATCACAGAGCAGACACCAGTGGGTGTCCCTCTTAAGCAGATGATCTTTGCGCCCTCTGCCTGGGCCACTGGTGCTGTGAGGGACCCAGATTGCCCCTCCTGGTCACTGGCTGGAAATGGCACCCTCTGGGCTGCAAGGCCTATGACCATGTGGACCTGGTTTGGATAATGTCTGGGGCCCTGCTGAGGTTTCTCCATCTCCTTCCACCCCTAGGTGGTGGTTGCGGCCCTGAAAACCCGGCACCACCAAACCCAGCTTGCTTCCCCCTTCATTGCTGTGGTGCAGGCCATTGCCCACACTGCCCGCGGCTGGGCGGCTGCGTCGGACTCCAGGAAAGGAGGGGAGCCTGCCGGCTACTAAGTACTCAGGGTAGACAAGACTGACCAGCAACCCAGACACGAGATGCTCGCCAGGGCCGGGGTGGCACCCTGGAGGACTTGCTTCCCCTGCCAGTGGCAGAGTAGTGCAATAAATTGGGGCTGCTATGCCAGGCTCCCCATCCTCTGGGCCTCACTGTCCTGTGTGTGAAGTGGTGCCGACTGACTGAGGGATGTGTGAAGATGTGGGGTTGGGAGGAGCCACTCTCAGCCTTTCAGGAGGCAGCTCCTCTGCAAACCCCAGCAGGCCGCAGGCTCTGCCCCTAGCGAAGCCACCCCATATGAGCCACCAGGGGGCGTTGCAGCCCCAACAGTCACTTAGGCAGATGGGGGCATCAGATGCCAGGAACCTGGTGCCGCCTCAGCCCCTTGGGCGTCCCTGCTAACCCTGCACACTGAGGCGCAGCTGAGTTCTGAAGACTGGGGATTGCCAGGAGGCTGCTGCTGAATGTCCCAGTCGGAGCCAAGCCCTGGGGGGTGGTTTCCAAGCACAAGCCAGAGTGAAACCGGAGCTTGGGACCAGCTCCAGGGGGAGGCCTGGTTCTCAGGGAACAGTGAGCTGGAAGATGTCCCCAGATTCCTACGGGTCAAGGCTCAGGACAGCTGGGGAATAGTGCAGCCTGGAGGAGGCGGGTTGGGAGGGAATTGCTGGATGTGGCATCCTTCAGCGTGGCAACTTATCCTCTGTAGGTGGTGGTAACATCTCGGGTGAGGGGCTGGTAGAGGAGGGTCAGGGCACAGCCAGCCCTCACCACCAGTGGGCACAGTGCTCCAGGGGCGACCCTGAGGCTGGGGAGGACCCAGGCAAGGCCAGGTCTGAACAGCCCTTCAGGAGGCTGGGAAACCTGGTGCTCCCCAAGTGCCCACAGGGAAATGGGACTTTGTGCCTGCAGACTGCCTGGGTCTGACATGGAGCCCTGGGGGGTGGGGGGGGGTGCTGCCCATGTCCCCAGGGAGGAGATGGAAACTGAGCAGTATGCAAGTCACTCGCTACTCTGCCTTTATTTGGCCTAAGAGGAAGAGCCATGGCCCCATTTACAGGGGAGAAGACAGGTCGGAGGGGCAGGCCTTGGTCCAGGCTGTGCTGCAGTGAGGGAAGTGGGGGGCTTCCTCAGTCCAACATGCTGGCAAAGTGTACCCCAGGTCCCCAAGCTCCATGGGGCTTAGCCAAGGACTGCCTCAGGGGCTGGGAGACTTGAATTCTCTCTTTTCTTCCGCTGGGCCCCCCTGGCTGCATCTCCAGCCAGGCCCAGTGTGATACCCATTGTCTTCTCTGGGCCTTTGCTCAGGAGGTCCCTGCACTCTGGCCTCTGCCGGACCAGGATGGGGAGAGGAGGGGGACTTCCCCAACCCTGTACTCCCTGCTGTCCTTGCCTCTAGGCTCTGAGGCCTGCAGTAGGTGGGTGGGCTGGCCAGGGCCCAGGAATGTACTGTGGTTCTTGGTTGAGCAATGTCATTGCGGCATGGGGGTCGGGTGGGGGCAGGGGGAGGTACCCACAGTCCCCCACAGAGAGACAGCCGTGGGAACAGCTTACGGGAAGGCCTGCCCCTAACAGCCACTCCAGCCCAGGATGACCAGGGGCTTGGCAGGCTGGATGGCCTGTGAGGACACAGTCCCTCTAGGGGCCTCAGTTTCTCTGCTGTACTGGGGGGGCGGGGAGCTCTGCCTCCATTTGTAGACACCCTGGGTGGGGAATGTTCAGCTGGGAAGGAAGCGGGAAGACATGTAAGGACTATTAGGGTCAGAGGAGTCCTGTCCTCAGCCCCTGTACCCTGTGGCCCTGCTGAGCCTCACCAAGGGAGCTTCTCAGTGGGTCCTTACTGCCTCAGTTCCTAGGCTGGGGGGACAGGGCCCAGGCTGGTGTCCCCAGGGGAGGAGGCACTGCCATCCCAGGAATAGTGGGGATGGACAGGGAAGCAGCCCCACAGGGGTGTGGGGGGCAGGGAGAGTTGCACTTCTGGGATAGCAGGTCTTCGGGATAAATTGTCCAGTGGACATTGGGTGCCAAGGGCTGAATGCACAGCCTGGCTACACTGTTCACATGGGCATCTTGTAGCCATGGGTGTTTGATGTTCCCAAGTCTGCCTATGTGAAGGTGAGGCTCCCTCCTGGTCACCCCGGGGGTGCCCCCCCACCCCGGCTATAGCTAGCTAAGCAGGGACATGAACTGGGTCCTGAGTGACAGCCCCATGGGTCCCCCTTCCTCTGTCTCTTCAGCCCTGTCTCCATGCTGAGGCTGAGCTGCCTGGACATCCTTTCCTGACCCAGGTGGCCGTAGCTCTGCTGTCCCAGTTCTGCTGGAAACCGGTACGTGCCATGGGGGTTACTGGAAGCCCTGTGCTGTGGTTTCCTGGGTACAGCATGGAGTGTCGCAGGGTGCCGACTGGAGGACTGACCAGCAGTGAGGGAGTTAACAGCAAAATCTGGCTCTAGGCAAGAAAAAACTTCCCCTGGATGTTTTGGTACTGGCCTCCCGCCAGGGCTAAAGGAGATGAAAACTGGAAGTTGAGGCGTGAGGGACTCAGCCTCCTGAGTGAACACTTGGGGAGCACAGCAGCACTGGCTGCCTGCGCGTCTGTCCACACACCCACCTGCTGTCCCACTGCCTGCTGTTTAGACCTGTCTGTCTGTCTGTCCACCCATCTGTAAGCCTATCTCTGTTCCACTGTCTGTCTGACATCCTTCTCTTACTGTCCTCTGTGCAGCTGTCTGGCCCATCTGGCTGTCCGTTGGCTTGTTGGTCTCTGGTTCCATCTGTCATCTGTCCAATTATCTGTGAGTCTCCCTGTATATCTTCTTGCCCATCCGTCTGTCCATCTGTCTGCTGACCTGCCTTCACTCTCCCCCAGGGCATAGGAGCCATGGCCTGGGGCCGTGGGGCCACAGTCAGCCTGGTCTTGCTAGGGCTGGGCTTGGTGCTGGCTATCGTCATGCCGGCTGTGCTACTGTCTCGCCGCCAGGCCCCCTGCAGCCCCCCGGGTTTTTCCCATGCTGCTGTGGCTGCTGACTCCAAGATTTGCTCGGACATTGGACGGTGAGTGAGAGGTGGGAGGGTGCCCCTTTGCAGGAGACTTTGTGACCAGTGGTGAGGAAGGCACACATGTGTGCACCTATGCTGGCCATGAGGCAGGGGCCGTGTGACTTTGGGTGTAAGTAGGACTGCACCCCAGGACCCTTGCATAGAACAGGTGGCAGTTGTGCCCATGGGGTGGGTGGGGATTTGGGGCAGTGGCACTGTGGGCAGAGATGGTGCATAAGTCTGTTCCTGGCTCTGGGGCTCAGGAGGCCCATCTGCACACACAGGTGGAAATTGGCCTGGCCCAGCCTGCCCCTGATGGCCGACGCTGGCTCCTTCAGCAAAGCCATGTTGGTTCTCCAGGGCTGGGGGTTTTCTCCCCGAGATGTGAGTGAGGAGATTTAGGGGTTCCCCATGTAGGTACCAGCCTGCTGGGGCACACACAGTGCTTCCAGGGTTGGGCCCCGAAGTCTCACCAGCCTGGGATGTTTCAGGTATCTTTGTGGACCTGGGAAACCCGGGGTGCCCTCTTTCCCATCCTCCCTCCCATGTCAGAGGCTGGGTGAGTGGTGTGAGGGTGTGATAGAGTGGGGCCGTAGCTGGTGTTTCCTGACCCTCATCCAGGAAGCCCAGCCCAAGGGAGGCTTCCGCGGCTGCAGGGGGAAACATGCAGGACACCCCTCCCAGACCCCTGCCTCCCACTGCTAAGCGTCCCCTCCCTGCCACTCAACTGGTCTGCTTCCCAAAGACCTGTCCTGCAGGCTGTTGTGAGGCCCTGCATGCTCTGTAAATGGGGGGCACAGCCCCAGAGCAACAGGATGTGCCTGGGCCTGGCCCTAGGCATGGCTGGGCAGATCATGTTCCGTGTCTTCTTTCCAACCTCACCACGCCAACGGGCCTTCTCTGTTAATTCATTCACCTTTTCATTCATTCCTTTCTCCATTCACCAATCCATCCATCCATCTGTCCATCATCCATCCAGCCCTACCCCAATTGCTGTTACCAGCCTGCTCTTGACCTGGGCTCTCCTCAGGGCTTTCTGTCCCTTCCCTCAGGACTGAGAATGGCAGCCCAGGGACAAGTGAGGGCTCCCAGGGAGGGAAGCTACCTCCCACCCTGGGCAGTGGCCCTGCCCTGCCCAGCAGGATGTGCAGAGATGGGCACTCACTTAAACCCACAGTTAGAAAGATGCAAATGAGGCTGGGGGCCCAGGTCCCAGAGACCCCCTTGTGGGCACGTGGCCTGAGGGGGGGGGGGATGCTGCTGCCACAGATCTCCCAGTGAAGTCCGGGCCTGCTGTGTCTTCTTCAGTCTCTGCCAGGTCTTCATGGTGTTCCCGTGTGTGTGTGATGGTCAGGGATTGGGTTCTCTGCTCCAGGCTGTTCCCTCAGCTGGCAGGCACTCCCTCCAAATTTCACTGAGTAAAGAGAGGATGTGGTTTGTCCCCAGTGTTTGGTCAAACAACTCCCTTCATTTCCTGTTTTAAGAGGCTGAGAGTGGGAGGGAGCCTGGGCTGGCCCAGGATCATGGAACAGGGATCATTCAACCTTGAGACCCTCGTGAGGCTGGTGGAGCCCGAGGGAGGCACCTGGTGCTGTGTCCTCCCACCTGAGATCCCTCCCTGTGGGGACCTGTAGTCATGCAGATGCAGAGTCTGCCAGCGGCCACCTTTGGTCCACATTCCTTCCTCCCACCGACCCCATCTCTCCACACTGGGTGCCCCTCTTCCCAGCAGGCCCTTCTGAGCCCATCTCTCACTCTGGGAGGACCAGGCTTTCTCCCTGGAATGGGGCTCTGGCCACAGTCAGTCTCTGCCTGCAGATCCCTGTGGTTTTGGTGTGTGAGGACCCGGCAATGTGCCTCATGGACATACAATAGGGGCGTGGTGACAGTGAGGCCTGCCATCTCCCAACACAGCGTCCCTATGTCTGAACAAATAAATGTGTGTTTACAAAAAGGTGATTTTTCTAAGTGTATCTACCATTTCTTTTTTTTTTTTTTGAGACAGAGCCTCAAGTTGTCCCCCTGGGTAGAGTGCTATGGCATCACAGCTCACAGCAACCT